GGGTGGGGGAAAGGTAATAAGGGAGAGGAAAAAAATATGAGAAACTGAAAAAATGGAAATAAAGTGCTTGTAAATGGGGAGGGGAGGAGGGGGTGAAGGGAGGGCAGGGACAAGGGGAAAAATGAGAATCAAGACCTATTATGTAAAGGTACAGAATCCCAATGATGAATGTAATTGTATTGTATACCTAGATTGTACCAATAAACCTGTGATTAGCTTCAAAAAATAAATAAATAAATAAAATAAAAAATAAAAAAAATCATCCTGCTTATAGTAATTTGTTATGGCACCTAGAGTAAACTGTATTAGGCTTCCCTAGAGAAACAGAACCGATATGATATACATGTATATAATACTATAAGGAATTAGCTGTGCAGTTGTGTGTTGTTTTCACTGCGAGCCCGCTCACGGAATAAGGCTCAGGAACTCGGACTGGGAGGGTAAGGCATGGAATCACCAAGCAGACTCCAGGGAGGTTTCTGGAACGCTTCCACTTTTAATAAGTTCAGCCAGCAATTTATAAAGTTTTGAAAGAGGGAGTGGCAAAGGGGGAGTGATATATTTGGCTTAACAGGATTGATTATTGGAGTGTCCTTGGATGGGCGATGGAGACATCCAACTAGTGGGGGACGGGCGAGGCCATAGCTGGACATAGAGGAGGCTCAACGCACGAGCTAGGCCCCTAGTAGTGTGTTAGGGGACATACGTGCGGTGCACTTGTCCCAGCCAGACTTGTACCTCGCTTACAGTTGTGGAGGAAGTACAAAGTACAGCAGAAGTCCAAATCCACAGCATGGGCCGGCAAGCTGGAGACTCAGGAGCACCCAGAGTTCCGGTGAAGTCCCAGGCAGTCTGCCAGAGAATTCTCTCTCTCCTAGAGGAGGGTCAGCCTTTCTGATCTAGTGAGGCCTCAGCTGACTAGGTGAGGCCATGTGATAAAAACCATCTGCTTTATTCACTCCACTGATTCCAATGTTAATCTCACTCAAAACAGCAGCACAGAAACACCCGGAATAATGTTGACCAAAAATCTGGGCACCTTTGGGACTGGTCAGGTTAAAACACACAAGTAGCCATCACAGAAATTAATGTGCTCTTCTCTCAGGGGCTTTCACTGTCACAGGCCATTGCTTAGGCGAAGGACCGGCCACCCCGGATGAGGCCCTCAGAGCTGGGTCGGTCGTCAGCAGGGCTGTGGGGCGGAACCCTGGCCTTGGACATGAGCAGCGGACGTGTCTTAGAGACTGCGCCCCTGCCATCAGTCACCCACACACTCCTTCCATTGCGGGCGACAGTGTCCCACCTGGCCCGGCGTGACTGTACTCGCTGCGGGCGGCCTTCTGAGTAACGGCTCGGGTGTTCCTCCGTTCTGCTGTCGTCCTCAGGACGCCCTTTGGGTGCTGTGCAACTTTCTTCTGTCTCGAGGAACACCTGCTCCGTGTTGTTCCTCACTATTCAGTACCCTACTGAACAAACTGCAGCGCTCTACTTTAAAACATGTAAGAGACAGCTGCGTGTAGGGGCACACACTTCTAATCTCGGCCCTCTGGGAGGCCAAGGCAGGAGGACTGCAAGGTTAAGTCCTGCCAGGTCAACGTAGCAAGAACCTGTCTCAAAAATAATTAAAAATCAAGAGGACTGGGGGTATAGCTCAGTGGTGGAACAGCCCTGTGTTTGATTCCTAGCACTGGAGGGGAAAAGAAGGAAAATACTGCTGAGGACCCTCAGGCCTGACTTAAAGCAGTTTAACAATAATGCCACATTATGTATAGCATTGTTGTACTAGAATAAAGCATACTGTGCTAAAATAAAACATTGGTATAAACCCACAGAGCAGAAGCCAGAGGACTTTTTCTTATAGTGAGACAGTAAATGTTTCAGGTTTTGTGGGCCAGGTCATCCCTGCTGTGATTCCAGGGCTTTGGCACTGCAGGTCCAAAGCAACAGTGTGGCTATGCTCCAAGAAAATTTCATTTATGTGCCTGGCGTGGTGGCACATGCCTGTAATCCCAGCACTTGGGAGGCTGAGACAGGAGGATCGCTGTGCGTTTGAGATCAGCCTGGCCTACACAGTGAGATCCAGATCAGTCTCAACTACATAGTGAGACCCTGTCTCACAAAACCAAAAACAGAACAAAACAAACAAACAAAAATTTCCTTTATGTGAATTTCAAATAATTTTCACTTGTTATTAAATTTTTTCTTTTTGGTAGCCAGGGATGGAGCCTAGGGCCTTGCACAGACTAAGCATGTCCTCTACCATCTGCCTACACATTCAGCCCCTTGTTAGTCTTCTGAGGTTTTCTGCTCAAATCTTCAAAAGGTAAACACCAAAGCTGGGCGTAGTGGTGCACACACCTGTGATCCCAGCACTCCAGAGCTTGGACAGGGGGATCACTGCAAGTTTGAGGCCAGCCCGAGTGAGTTCAGGACCTGCCTAAATTACACAGCTAGACCCTGTCTTGGAACAACAAATACAAGCACCAGCCTTTGCTCAGTAGGTTGTATGGAAACAGGCAGCAGGGGTGCTTTGGGCCAGGGACTGTAGTTTGCCAGTGCTTGCTATTGCTGCTGTCCTCCAACCCAGGGCACCTGTTGCTTTGCTAAGGGGACCTCCCTTTGCTTCTGGGGTTTGCGCCTCTCCCCGAGCCAGCTGTCAGGCTGTGTGCTTCCCACGGAGCTGCGAGGGGCCCGGCTCTGGTGCAGTAAGTATCACAGTGGTGTGTAGGAGCTACGCACACAAGGACTCTTTCTCTTCCCTTAAGAATTCATAACAGTAAGGAAGACTGGAGTGCAGAGATGCCAGAGGCTACCACGTGAATCTTTTCTTTCCTCTTTTATTTTTGACACCAGAGATCACACTCAGGACCTTGGGCTTGCAAGGCAGGCACCGGAACCACTGAGCTAAATCCCCAGCCCTACGTGAATCTTAAGAATGAAGCTGACCCACTGAAGGAACAGCCAAGAAACAAAGGGAAACTGAATTTTTATTGCATTTTTGAAGCCCCTGAAGTGAGCTATTCGTGATTCTAAACAACTCAAGGCTTTCTCCTAAATAAATGAATAAATAAACGTGTCAACTAGGCACCATGATAGGTGCCTCTAATCTCAGCTTTGAAGCAGGCTGAGGTGGGAAAGTCACTTGAGCCCAGGAGTTCAAGGCAATATAGTGTGACCCTGTCCTCTTAAAACGAAAAAAATGATCCTTTTTCTTTTGCACTAAAGGGAGTTTGAAGGCAAGTATGGTGGTGCTAACCTGTAATCCCCACACTTGGGAGGCAGAGGCCAGAGGATTGCTTTGTGTTCTAGGCCAGCCTGGGCTACATAGTCCAAGGCCAGAATGAACTACACAGAAAAATCTTGTCTCAAAAAATGAAAACAAAACAAAACAAAATAGAGTTTGTGTTGCGCCTTTTGTTACCCATAACAAATCTATCACTGATAACAGTTTTTTTTTCCCCAGTACTAGGGATTGAACCCAGGGCTTTTGCACTAAACTACTGTATATCCCACCTTTTTTTTTTTTTTTTTCTAAAAAAAAAGAAAAAATATGTCTCTCGGCCTGGTAGCTCATACCTGTAATCCCAGCATTTGGGAGGCTGAGGCAATGAGTTCAAGGCCAACCTGGGCTACATAGAGAGTTCAAGGGTAGCCTGAACTACACAACAAGATGCTGTCTGAACCCCTGCCCCCTTTTATCAAGACAAAGTCTTGCTAAATTGTTAAATTGCCCAGTCTGGGCTCAAACCTACAATTCTGCCTCATCCCCTCAGAATGCCGGAGTTACAGGCATGCACCATGGTGCCCAGCTACATCCTACCTGTTGAATGTATTATAAAAACAGAAAATTCAAAATTAGTTTCCTACAAAAGTACCAAATCAAAAAAGTTCAAGTCAACAATATTACAGGTAGTGTCTTGCTGGAATTTCTTCTCTCGATACGAATATGACTTCACGCATTGCAGATTGTTTTGAATTCTGCATGCCTCTGTGTCTTACACAGAAGGTTTGCATTGGATAATGAATGCTTTCCTCATCAGTCCTCTCTTCGAATTATTACAGAACCTTTGTTCGCAGAGCTGGGTGACGACTCACAGCCTTCTTCCAGTATGAGTGTGTCATTTGCATATGAAGTGCTTCTCTACTGTGCTCGGTAACCAAAGCTCAGAAGAACATTGCTGCCCTTGCCTTTATCAATTATACTGGTATCAAATACTGATTTCAATTATATTGATATCATATTAGAGGCCATTCTATTAAATTACTTATACCAAAGTGACCTGTGAAAATGTGCTTCAATTACGCATGGAGAAGAGGAGCTTTGTGTTGTTAACAGGAAGATAATTCCAATGCCGTGATTGTGTCACTTGCCATTGGGACATGCTGGCTCTTGGTAGTTAATAGAAAAGTCTCTTTCCTCAGACCTGTTTTATTCGCTGTGGCCTTGTTTCTGAGTACCATTGTCTTGTGATTCTTTACATTGCTGTGATTCATTACTTCTGTTTGGAATTTCAATCTAATTGCCCAACTTAAAACAGTACTGTATGTACAGTTGCATAAGGGCCTCATGCTCATACCCAAAGCTGGCCCAGCTGGTGTGAACAAATATGTACTGTTTATTACAACCAAGAATGGTATGTTAACCGGGTGTGGTGGCACACACCTGTAATCCCAGCCCTTGGGAAGCTTAGGCAGGAGGGTTTGAGGCAAGTTGCATAGTGAGTTCAGGGCCAGCCTGAACTGTATAGCAAGACCTTCTCTAAAAAAAACTCAAAAAGCACAATAATTGGGCTCAGAAAGTTTGTGAGAGAGTTTATTTGGACTCCAGATTCACTTTCTTTGGCATGAGCCAAAACCGAGAAATTGTCCACTGGGTAGTGTGGTGGGCTTGGATGAATTCTTCTCGCAAGCTCAATAATTGCAGTGTAGTAAAACCAAGTTTTATTTAGAAATAAACATCAACTATGTATATATGTTTTGCAACAGACAAATCAGAGGTCCAAAGTCTACAGTGTGGCTTCCCCGGTGCCACATGAGAAGCCGTGGAAGGGTTCAGATCTGCATCCAGTGTTGGGCCCCCGCAGCTTGGGCCTGGGCTGGCTCAGCCCCTCCCGATGGTTACCCGGGAGGCTCAGGACTGACCTCCTGACCTCCACATCCACTTCCGCTTCCGGTGACATCCGCTTTCCAGACTGCCTGCCTTTACCTTTCTTCATTCATAAGGCTTCCATGTTCCTTCTCACCAGCTGGACCTTTCCCAACCACATGTCCTCCCTGTAGAGACCAAGTGTGGACACCTGGCACCTGCCGGATCTGCTGTCATCTGGTTTCTCCGGGCGAGGAGGCTTTGTGGGCCCGATGTGAACCGGGCTGTGGTTCTGAGGAGCTGCGAGCCTTCAGAGCTGGTGTGGACCCCTCTGTGACACATCAGAGGTGGAGGGGCACGACGGGCTGGCATTCCGGAGGAACAAAGGCTTCACGCGTGAGTGCCCTTCCCTCTGCCCTTTCTCCTTGAGCTGTGACTCCACACGCAGCCCCGAGCTCACAGCCTGCTCTGGGCCCCGGGGGGACAGGCTGGCGTGTCGACCTTGTCCCCTCCCCATCTCCAGAGGAGTCGGCCGCCCTGGGCGGAAAGGCAGGTGTGCAGAGACCCCGAGCTGTGCCCGGGCGCAGAGCAGTGCGAATGGCAGAGCCCTGCTGCCTGTGCCCAGGAAGAGCGAGCAGGAGAAGGAGGCTACCGCCGAACTAGCAGTACAATCTGGAAGGAGAACAGGTTTTTGTTCCATTGCTTTGAGTAAATGGACAGCGCTGGCTGCTCAGGATACCTGGAATGAGAGCTTTCCTGCTACTAAGTGCTTCGTAGGTGTTCATGGGAACAGTGACTCCACTCTCACCAATGAGACCAGTGGCCATGCTTAAGAAATTGTTAAGTGCCAGGTATTGTGGCACAGTCCCGTGGTCCCAGCACTCTGGAAGGCTGAGGCAGGAGGCCTGCAAGTTCAAGCCCACTCTGGGCAACTTAGGGACTTAGTGAGACCTTGCATCAAAATAAAAAAGGGCTGGGATTTAGCTCAGTGCAAAGGCCCTGGACTCAATCCCCAGTACTGAAAAACAAAACAAAACAAAAACCAATAAACTGTTATGTGACTGATTAAACATTAGTCAGGATGTGAATGTAAATTCACGAGTGACACTGATTTCTATTTCATTTACTTGAAGAATTAAAAAACATAAAACAGATATCCAGAGAGTCAACTGAATAGTTTCAGATGGACGGCCCCTCTGCCCCAGTTTACGATCCCAGGTCACTTTAGTGACACGGGGCTGCTGGGGCATTAATGTGTCACCCCAGTTGTGTATTATGTGCATTTAAAACTGACAGTAGGGCCTAGCATGGTGGCACAGGCCTGTAATCCTAGCACTCAGGAGGCTGAGGCAGGAAGATCATCACAAATTTGAGGCCAGTGTGGGCTACATAGTGAGTTCAAAGTCAGTCTGAACTACACGGCGAGATCTGTCTCAAAACAACAGAATCCCCCCAAATAAATAAATAAATAAATACATACATTAATACACAAAACTGATGCTAGGATAGCCCCTTTGGCATAGTGGCTCAAGTCAAATATGGTGGTATGGGATCAGGGAGGAGAGATGATCATTGTTTGTTCTTTGTTTTGGTTTTATTTTTTTGAGACAGGAGCTCTTTATGTAGTCCAGGTTGGCTTTAAATTCCCTATGATCCTCCTGCCTCAGCCTGCTGAGTGCTGAAATTATAGACATGTACCACCATGCCTGGAAAAAGGAGGTGGTTTTTAAAAAAATGTGTATTACTTTATTTTATCCCATTTCCCTCCCTCAAGCCTCCTCCCCTCCCTCTTTATAAAAGCTTTGTTTCCATTTTTTCTTTTATTTTCACTTTTTTTCTTGTCCCTTCCTTCCTCTCTTTTCCCTGTTCCCCTTCCCATTTGAACACTTTCTTCCCTCTTCCCAACATCCATTATACATTTCTGTTCTTATTTCCACCTTTGGTTTCTCACACCAGAGAAACAAGGCAGTATTTAAACATGTGTGTCTGATGTATTTCATTTAGGAGTATGGTCTAAAGGTCTGTCCGTTGAGCTATAAATGTCTGAAGCTCAACCTTCTATGTGGCAGAGTAATACTCCATTGTATATTTTTTAGAAACACATCTTTATCTACTCATCAGTTGATGGGCATTTAGGCTGTTTCCAAAATTTAGCTGTTACAAACTGTGCTGCTATAAACACGTGTGTGCGTATATCACTGTGGTATGATGCTTTTAATTCTTTCAGGAAAATAAGAAGAGACATAGCTGGGCCAAATGGAACCTCAAGTTTTAGTCATTTGAGAAATCTCCATACTGATTTGCACAGTGGTTGCACCAGTCTGCACTCCCATCCACAGTGAAGAACGGTTCCTTTCTCCCCAAAGCCCCTCCAACATTTGTTATTGGTTGACTTCTTGACAGTGGCCATTCTGTTTGGAGTGAGGTGGAATCTCAGCATTTTCCTTTTCATTACATGAATGACCACTCATGTTCAACATTTTTTCATATATTTACTTGCCTTTTCTGATTCTTCATCTAAGAAGAGTTTTTATTTCAATGCCCATTTTTGAACTGTGATTTTAGTGCTCGCTTTGGTAGCACATACACTAAAATTGAACTGTGATTTTAAATTTGGGAGCTCTGTTTTTTTGTTTTTTTTAGTTCTCTATATATCTAGATAATAATCCTTTATTGGAATAGCTGGTAAAAATAGTTTCCCACTCTATGGGTTGTCTCTTCACTCTGTTGGTTTCTCTTGCTGTGCAAAAGCTTTTTAATTAGATGTGGTCCCAGTTGTTGATTCTTTGTAGTATTTCCTGTATGTTCTGGGTTTCGTTCATGAAGTCTTTCCCTACTCCTGTGTCCTCAAACATTCTTCCTATTCTCTCTTCTGGCAGACTTAGTGTTTCTCTTTTAATATTTAGACCTTTGATCAATTTTGATTTTAGGTTAGTGTGTGGTGAAAGTTACAGGTCTAGATTCAATCTTTGGCATGTGAACAGCCAGTTTTCCAGCACCAATTATTAAAGAGGCTATCTTTCTTCTATTAAAGGTATTTGGCTCCTTTGTCCAAGAAAGATAAACTGGTTGAGTGTGTCTAGAGTTGTTTCTGTATTGTCTAATCTGCTCCATTGATTCTCAGGTCTGTTCTTTTGCCACTCTGTTTATATCACTGTAGTTTTGTAGTATATTTAAAGTCAGGGATTGTCATACCCCCTGCTTTGCCTTTCTTGCCAAGAATTGCCTTTGCTATTCTAAGTCTCTTCTGGTTCCAAATGAGTTTTAGGGTTGTTTTTTCTAATTATGTGAGATATGCTCTTGGGATTTTGATTGGGATTGCATTAAATCTGAGTAACAGTTTTGGAGGTGTGACCATTTTCAGTATATTGGTTCTTCTTATCCAAGAACAAGGGATATCTTTCCATTTCTGATATCTCTTCAGTCTCCTTTTTCAGAGTACTATGGTTTTCCATGTAGAGATCTTTTACTTCCTTAGATTCATTCCTAAATATTTCACTTTTTTATGCTATTGTGAAAGGGATTGTTTCTGTAATTTCTCTCTCCACGAGTTTGTTATTTGTGTAAAGGAAGGCTATTGACTTTTGAGAGTTGACTTTGTATCTAGCTATGCCACTGAATTTGGTTATCAAATCTAAAAGTCTTTTGGTGGAGTTTTGGGGGCCTTTTATGTACAGTATCATGTCATCCACAAATAATGATGATTTAACTTCTTCCTTTCCTATTCTTATTCTTTTTATTTCTTTCTTTTGTCTAATTGCTCTGGCTAGTGTTTCCAGAACTATATTGAACAAGAGTAGTGACATTGGACATCTTTGTCTTGTTCCTGATTTTAGAGTGAAAACTTTGAGTTTTTGTCCACTTAGTATGATGTTGGCTGTTGATTTGTCATAGATGACTTTTATCAGATTAATATAAAGACCATCTATACCAATTTTCTATAGGTTTTTTATTAAAAATGGGTGTTGAACCTTGTCAAATGCTTTTTCTGTATTTGAGAGGATCATATATGTTTTGTCCTTGACTCTGTTAACATAGTGTATTACATTTATTGATTTGCATATGTTGAACCATCCTTGCATCCGTGGGATGAATCCAACTTGGTCATGGTGTATAATTTTCTTGATGATTTGCTGCATTCTGTTTGCCCATGTCTTATTTAGGATTTTTGTATCTATGTTCTTTAGAGAGATTTGCCTGTAATTCTCCTTTTTGGTTGGATCCTTCTCTGGTATTGGTATGAGAGTATACTTGCTTCCAGGAATGAATTTGGGAGTTATAGAGTTTGAGGAGTAGTGGCATTAGGTCTTCTCTAAATTACTTGTAGAATTCAGCAGGGGATCCATCAGGGACTGGTCTTTTCTTTGTTGATAGTTTTTAAATTACATATTCAATTTCATTGGCTGATGTTGGTTTATATAGAATTTCTATATCTTCTTGAATCTGTTGTGGTAATTCATGTGTATCTAGGAATCTGTCCATTTCTTCTGTATTTTCCATCTTATTAGAATACAGGTTCTTGAAGTAAGTTTTGATGATATTTTGGATCTATGCAGAATCTGTTGTGATTTTGCCCTTTTCATTCCAAATTGCATGGATCTGAGTCTTTTCTTTCCCTTTTGGATAAGGTTGGCTAAGGGTTTGTCAATTTTATTTAATCCTTCAAAGAACCAACTCTTCAATTCATTGACTCCTTATATTGTTTTCTTAGTTTCCATTACACTAATTTCTGCTCTGACTTATATAATTTTCTCCCTCTTATGAGCTTTGGGCTTGACTTGCTTTTCTTTTTCTAGAAGCTTGAGGTTCAACATTAGGTTGTTTATTTGAGCCCACTGTGTTTTCCTGATATGGAATTCAAGGTGGTAGATTTCAAGACCTTTTCTTCCTCCCTGTATAATCACCCGTGACAACCAGCTTAGGCACAGAAGATGAAGACTTGGTCTGGCAGATCTCCCAGCCCTGAAGAGCTCACCCCACAGGTGTGTGTGAGGCCCTTTCCTGGCAGGTAAGCTTTGCCCATAGCTCAGAAGTCTCTTTCCTTTTGAAGAAATCAAATTAGCCTAGATAGTAAGGATTCTTCTCCATTTAAGGTCCATTGAAGTCAGGCATAGTGGGACACACCTGTAATCCCAGCACTTGGGAGGCTGAGGTAGGAGGATTGCCATGAGTTCGAGGCCAGCCTTGGCTACATAGTGAGCTCAAGAGCAGCCTGAGACCCTGTGTCAAAAAGAACAACAGCAACAACAACAAAAATCCAATGAAGTCACTTTGCTCATAAAATTAGAGCCTCCTCTCCAAAATCCATACCATCTTAGGGAGGAAGGAATGGGGAAGGATGTGGTGGAGCTTGGGAAAATCCTACACAGACAAACCTTGGGTTGGGAGTAACTTGT